CAACACAGTTGTAAATGGAATTCCTCTTAGAGCAAAAGAACCCAGCTCTTTCAAGAAGTGTGCCAAGGTTCTGGAACCTTGTGTTCTGGTGGAGGGTGTTGGAAATGGGGGTGTGGGGTGCATGGCCACCAGCTGTTGACACGATGAGTGGTCTCCTGGAAAGTAGGCAGCCTTGGGTCTTATTAGTTTCAGGGAAAATTGTTCTGTTGTATTTGGTACAAATGCCAGAGGTCAGTATTTGTCCTCTAATAGCAAGAACAGACTATAACCCTTGACCCCCACATGGTAGCCAAAGGGAATAATGATCACACACACACACACACACACACACACACACACAGAGATATAACACTTGGGTGCATTAATACACATTTTCTCATTTGCTCTTTACAATGGGCCTGTGAATAAAGAAACACAGATAGATACTACTTATCCACACTTTACAGATAAGCAAACTGAAGCTTCCAGAGGTTAATATAGTAAGTGGATAGGAAGTAAAACCAACACGAAAACCTTTTCAAATCCCCAACCTGTATACTTCTCACTCATCACATTCTCAAAATAGTAAGAACATCCAAGCAGCACAGACACAGTAAATAAGAATAAATTTTCAGACCAAATAGGCTCTTTTCTCCAAGACAGTAAGATTTCTGTATCGTTTTAATTTTACAATGAGTAAACCAGTTGATTATGTCAACTATCAAAGGCTTTGGCTCCCAGAGCAAAGATATTTCTTAAGGACTCAAAGCAAACATATCTGTCTTTTTCATCTTAAAATATTGCCAATACTCACACTCTCTCCCAAGCTAAGCATGTACAGATGCCCTCTTCACATAGCTGACTACTTCTAGGGGCACATCAGCAAACAGCAAACCATGTCTGAAATGAAAAGACCAGGAAACTCTGGCCAAAATGTAAAATGCCTTGCTCAGGATCCTAGGGTGTTTCCGTGGCAGAGACTTCTGGTCTACCACACACTTCCTCTCACCGTGATGGTTGTGCCAATGGGAGCCTCTGGAAGAGGCTACTGGGAGGTGGACTTGACTTTTCCAAAGGTCTCAGAATCCCTTACACAAGTAATAAATTATGCAGCGATACACGATCACGTATGAGCATGCTTAGAAACAAAACTCAGAAAAGATGATCAGGAGGAGTAGGGGAAAACTGCAGAGATTGACTGGTACCCAGGGAAGTTCTTAGGGATAAATTTGGGAGCAAAAGGAGGAAATGGAAATTGGGTAATTGCCAAGGCAGGAAAGTACCTACAACTAGGGTTTGACAGATAAAGACAGAACCATCCAGGCAGCCTGCCCTGGTTAAAAGACAAGGATTGCATGCTTTCTTGCTAGAGAAGAACTGACATATTTCAAGCAGGGGTGCCTGGGTCAAGCCTGCATTTTAGACAGATCCCCCAGGATTGTTTCAAGATAAACCTTCAGTGTTGCAGGTAAGGCTGGAGACACAGGGAAGCAATATCAACATTCCCTTTAAGAGACGGCAGCGAAGGGAGGTCAAATTTAAGCTAAGTGAAATATCGGGGATGAGGAAGAAAAAGGAGGTGGGGAGTTCCCAGATTTCTGGCTTAGGTATAATGTGGGTTGTGATCCCATAAACCAAAGACAGAGAATGGAAGAAATCGCCCAGGTGTGAGGGCCTGAGGGTTGGCTGGTGGAAAGTGTGTGGGAATAGAGAGTAACCTTGAAACATGCACTAGACATCTGTGTGGTGCTGTCCAGTCGACGATATTTCAGTGTAGAGGTCAGAGTTGGATGTACAAAGTTGGAAGCCATCGGCCATTTGTGGATATTGTTGTGAATGAGACGGCTCCAAGAAAGAACACAGAGAAGGCAAATCTGAGAAACTCCAACACAGTGCCAGGATTGTTGTATAAGGACTCTTGTCACAATATATCCCTATATGGTAGACCTTGAGGTTCTTGGGGAGTAGAGGTTGACAAGGAGAAGAGACCAGCTTGGTGGAAATTCCTTTCTTGGCATGGGCTTCAGTTTCATCAAGTGCATCACTGTGGAGTTGGACTTGACATTCCTTAAAAGATTCTCTTCCAGGTTTAACATGCTATCATTCCAAATCTCTTCCAGTATTGTAAATCCCATAACCAGGAATTTTACTTTGGAGGAAGCTCTTGGCTTTAGAAAAAGGAGGAGAATTTGCTTGAATGAAATGTAAATCCTTTATCGAGTATACATGTCATGTAATTGCAAACCTCAACTTTCCGATAATGAGGGAAGGACATAAGGAGTTTAAAGGCATCTCCTTGAATGACTAAACCACTTACACAGAAACATATGTCATGATTTCCACCATAACTTATGCCATAGATGAGTCAAACTGGGAGAGCTAAATTTAGGACTTTTAAGGGCCCATCCCCTCTCAATGTCAGAAGTTTCCATCTGGCACAGGGAAGAGGAAAATGCTGACACAGGCAGTATTTGATTTCTCCAGGATATCCAACACATCTGGATAAAAATAGCTGCAAGGAACACCCACCAGCAAGACTGGAGTACAAAAGGTGGCGGGGTCCCTGGGTCATAAGAGATAACACAGTGACACACACACAAGAAGACAGACAAATGACAGGGCTTTGTGAGGATATAATGCCTGGAATCTGGGTGCCTGTGGTTTGGGGACTCTCACCACTGGGGACATTAGAAGAGGACCAAGCTGAAGAGGTGAGTGATCCAGAGTAAGACTTGATGGAGCACAGGGAACAAAGGGAAAGCAAATCATAGACCAGGATACAAGGAGAGACAGTGTAACTAGAGAGGCCAAACCAGCAGCAGAACTAGGCTAAGAGGTGAAGTGGAGAGTCAAGGACAGAGCAAGCAGAGACAGCACAAGTTTCCTACAGGTCAAGGATGAATTTCACTGAGTTCTCACCATGGAGTTGCATCTACGCATGAACTGCCATCAACCACTAGGGTAGACTTGTCTTTGAAGCAGCCTTGTGCACGCACCTGTGAACCTGCGTTGCTGTGAGATGTTCCTCTCTGCCAGTCTTGTCTCTGCCACCCAACGCTCTTAGCCTCTCCAGTAGCTGTGCTTTTCCTTTACATCTTGAAATAAACCACATGGCAGGCTAAACATCATAGGTTAATGCCACCACAGTAGAGTAGTAGATTATGGTTTCTTAGCTCCTTCTGTTCTCAAGGGCAATTATTAGTTTAAGTAAGAGGCAGTGCCCTGGTTTCACTGCATTATTGCAGGGCTTGTGCAAGTCAAGTGTACTTGTGGTGTGCAAAGTTGTTTATTGACACTCAACACAGACCCTTTTAGTTTGGGGATGGTGGCTCTAGAAGAATGAATAATGATGCTAATTGTACTTTCACACCCAAGCCATGACACGTTGACTCTAGTGCTAGCCAAGCAGCTGTGAAGAACTCAACACTGAACTGTGGCCATGGGGGAAAATAAATGCCACCTTTGACTTCTAAGAACCAGAGTGTTGATGGCACAGGAGCTAGAGGGCAGCTACACGACAGAGTCAATGACATACCTACTCCATGTGAAAGCATGCTACTGTCGTTCATAAACAGAAGGTCGGAGAAAGAAAAATGACAGTATAAAAGCACAAGATACCACTTTTTGCTTATCAGTTTGGCAAAGATTGGGGAGGAGTGCTAAAGCCACTGGCAAGTTGGCAAGAATATACAGGAGCAAATGTTTTTGAACACCGTCAGAGCCAAAGTTTGTGGGGGAAAATTGAGCAATACGTGTCAAAATTCTTAATAGTCATACTTTTTAACCAAATCATACCTAACTCTAATATTTATCCTCAGTGTTGATAGGACAAGGGCACAAATATATGAGTTCAAGGATGCTCATCACAGCGTTTTATAAAATAGTGACAATCTGAAGCAAATTCAGTGGAATCTGGTTGAGGAAATTATGGTGTAATTCATGATGAATGCTATGCAGTCACTAAAAAGTGATGATGTATGCTACCTTTATTGACATAAAAGATGTATGATACGGAGTTAAGTGACAGTAGCTTACAACATCGCATGTATAGTATAGATATTTATATTTATAAAAAGGGGATTATATTTCCATATCTGTATATATTTACAGGTATAGAAATGGTAATAGAAAGATTTTCACCAAAATATTACAGTGGTTTTCTCTGTGGGGTGGCATCATGAGAGAACTATATTTTCTGATTTATAATTTTTCAATATTTTCTGAGTTTTTAAATAATGAGCATGTGTTAGTTTCATCATCAGAAAAAAAATAAGGCTGTAAAAGAAAGTAAAATCATAGCAGCCAATGTTTCAGTTACTACACATGTTAGGAGCCTAAGGAAATTAAAGAAATTGAAGCGAACTTTCAGAAGAGATGACCATTATTCTTAATAGATCTGAAGTAATCTTCTAATTAGGACAGATTCAATTTATGTATGTATCATTCTCGCTCTCAGACTCAGTGGGTTATAACCTACATCCCAGTTGAAACAAAATGTTTTCAGCCCAAAACAGATAAGGTCATAAACCCATCAAAAGTGATGACTTTCAAAAAACTCCAGGAATTCAAAAAAGTAAGACAAAGAAAAATGTAGAAAATCTTTTTAGCTTTTAGGAAAAAATGAGACCAAATGACTACAAAAATACCAGCTCCAAAAATGCTTCAACAGGAGAAAATAGAGAGCAAAAGACTGGCATATGGATATCAAAACTCCAGTGTCAAGGAGGTTTTGAAAACTGGTCGTGTGTCACCAATTATATATATCCAAGATCAATGTGACAGACACTCATTTCCAAGAGCACTGGCAAGTTTTTTAGGATTCTAAAAATCTCTTTTCAGTGACTGACTGATCATATAGCAATAATGTGAGATTTTAAAATTCATTTCATCATTGGTGACCAAATTCTAACATAAGAGAAAGGGAGAGAGAGAGAAAGAGAGAGCTGTTGTTACAGACCCATTGTGTTGACTTATATTTAAGATGTGCTTTGTACATAATTATCTTTTCTTCTCACCTCCAGGAAAAGCACAAAGAGGAGATTTCAACGATGGCCAAGTTGACAGAATCCATGAGTAAGTAACTTGAAATTTATTCTTCATTTTTGGTTTTGAATGGAAAACGACAAAATCTTGCAAAAAACACATCCCCTTGTGATTATCTGATTTGTCTTTCACTCTTGTGATAGCCAAGGTCTATTTAACACAGATCATATTGTGTTAATGTTACATCACGTGTTTTTCAAAATTCATCTCTCATGGTGTCCAATTCTGTGCTGAAATTTTTCCCCAACATTATGGAGCTAAAGAGTCAAAATGAATTTTATTTGTAGCACTGCATTGGGCATTGGGACCCACAATAATTTTAAACTGATTTTTAAGAGGTTTAGACAAAGTCTAAAGCTGAAGTTTTATGCACAGATATTCCATAGGCTGGATAATCTAAAGAGAGGAAAGAATGGCTTATTGTTGTTAGACTTGTTAGGTGCTGTTCAGAAATTTCAGAGAGAACAGTTAAAAAATGGAGTACTTGAGATGTAAGCAGCTTGCAGTGATTTAGGTTTCGACTCTACCAGTGATAATAATGCTCTAAGCTCTTAAGCCAAGTAAACAGGATACACAAAGCGTTTTGAAGAGAAAAGAAAAATTAATTATAATAAATCCTCCTGCAAACTGAGAAATGCAATTTCCTGTGTTGACGTTTAACTATTAAAGACCATGTGGATATGAAATAAATAGACAATGCAGACTTTTTTCCTTTGAAAAGGTACATTTTCCTAGTGATAGATTTCACATCTAAAGTGACAAGGGAAGCTTGTAAACACTTCTCCATTATCATTAGGGCCATAAACACCTACTTAAAATTGGCCTGCAAAATTAGCCATGGATCTTGCACAAATTTAACTGGCCCCTGTCTTCTCCTTCTACTATTCCTCAAATCCTGAGACTGTTAAATACAAGTGTTCTCCTGCAACACAGTCAATGAGCCCTTATCTCCAAAGGTACCCCCCCTTCCAAGAAAAGGTAATGTTACAAGGTTCTGTACATTTCATTTCTTTAATTCCTGACCCAAAACCTCTGCTTAATTTCATATGTCTTGAACACATGCTAATTTCACGATGGAAATGGCAGCTCACAGGGACTAAGGGAAGGACAAGGTGCTCCCACGTCTCTCTTCTGCTCTCCTTTCTGGGTCACTCCCCGACCTCACTCTGTTCCACCCTTCTCTCTACCTCTAGCTTTGCAGATGGAAAAACGTTCCAAGGATTTGCCACTTGGTTTGAAGAACACCAAACTGGTTCTCTGTCAGGGAAAGGCCCTTGAGTCATAGAAGGTGCTCTTCTCAGACCTGGAATGAAATAGTGAGGGTACCAGAACCACCATGAAATTGACATGCCTATGCTGTCAAAATATGGAGCGAGATTGGGACACATCAAGTAATTCACAATCCACAGCACTTTCGCAGACTTAGTCCTAATCTCTAAGTCCGAAGTCGCCAACACAAAAGACTCACAGATTCTCTGAATGCTAGAAAGATCAACGGCTTGGAATCTAGCATCCTTTTCCATGAGTGGAGTCTGGGGTGTATGGTGCATTAAATCAAATCGTGTCTTGTGTGAGTTGTGATGCTAACAGGTTTTACCATGAGTCTCCTGTTAGAATTTGATCTCTAGTTCAGTGAATATTTTTTTAACTCACCTAACTGAATTATAAACCATTTAGGGCACTATAAGAGATCTACTGGTCAATATTTCTGATAAAGGTATTTTAATTTTTCTATATCTATTGGATCCAGATGCATTTAAATAAGAGCCCCTCCCTGGACCCTCCCTGATGTGTTGGTTTTCAGTTTCATGTTTGCCTCTGCAATGATTCTAAGGATTTTGACCTATGCATCCACTGGCTTAAGAGAATTCTGCCAAAATTGAATTCCAAACCCTTCGGTAGATGAAAGGGCATGGCCATTCTTCTAACTTTCTCTGTCTTAAAAAAAAAAAAATAGAAGAAGAAGAAGAAAAGAAAAGATCACATAGATAAGCTCAATGCACAAAGGAAATTTAAAGTTTGAAAACGGACCTTGGAATCATACCCAACATTCCAGTCCAGTGATCCTGACAAAGATAAAAAAAAAAAATTATAAAATATACGACATACTCCTACTTTTCAAGGTGCTCACTATGAAAGTTAATCACATGGTCAACACTAACAAATCGTTCATCAAAATTAAATTCCTGAATAACGTTATATACAACTATACATTTATTCTACATAGGAAACCTGCAAGGAAATAAATACCTAATTATTGAAGGAGAGCCTATCAGTGGGCTAAGCAAAGAATTAACATTCTTTTAAGAACTGCGCAATAAATGTGATAGGAACATCAAATCCATGGCCACCAGAGAAAACGGACAAAAACAGAACCACCAATGCCTAGGACACAGTGCACTGAATGAGTTTTCAGAGCCAGTAAACACTCTGCTTGTTAAACTGCCAAGCAAAAACCATCTGGTTACTAGAATATCTCTCTGTCTAACTAGACTAGAGAGCAATTCATCTCCAATCACCATAGGGGTCCAAATGCTTCTGATGGCTATGCAAGTACCATCATGGGGATGGGGTATCTTCTTCATCTTCTAGAGCAGGGTGAGGAGTATTTCTTTCTATCACGTGCCATTAATCAACCACGTCAGAAACAATAGCATTCGTCATTTTTTTAAAGGACAAGCAAGGGACGCAAAAATATTAACAGGTTTTCAAATGTTTAAGGAAAAACAACTTTATTTAATAAATACATGATAAGACTTCAAAATATATTTGTCACATTGTTGAAGTGAGGAGGGTCATGATAAGGAAGAAAAAACAGAGAAAGGAAGAAAAAAAGATGAAATAAGAAAATGCACATGAGAAAAATACAGGGGGAAACATATGTATAAAAAAGACCCAGGGACATCCCTGGTGGTCCAGTGGTTAAGGCTCCGAGCTTCCAATGCACGGGGCATGGGTTTGATCCCTGTTTGGGGAACTAAAATCCCATATACCGTGAGGCATGGCCAGGAAATAAAAATAAATAAATAATAAATAAATATTTTAAAGACCCAGAGAAGGAGCTATTAAGGAGGAAAGAGACAAAATCAGGGGCAACGAGAAGACAAGAAGGCAAAGAGAAAGGAGGCAAGGACAGATAATGACAAGGAGGCTCAGGGGGTCTAAAATTCATAAACTACACACTTGCATTCATTGGCTGTGGTCATTGAACATTTCAAATCCTATTGTTTTTTTACCATTGCCCTTTGACATTTTAATCTCTGTTAGCATCTTAGAAAAGGATATTCTCATACTTCATCCATCAGAAACCCTGCTCCAAATGGGACAGCGGAAAACCCCACACTAGTGGAAGTTACTCTGAACTTGCCGGTCAGTAGCCAGGATTTTACTACCCACGCACTAACGGAAACCAAGCTGAAAGCCTGACCCAAGTGGAGACTCCCAACCTTGTCCATAAGTAGGCACACAGTGACCCAAACAAGGAAACCAAATCCCACACTGTGCTGTCCTTAGAGGTGACGTTGAGGCTGTCAGGCTCTGTCCTGGCCACTCGAATCTAAATCAGATGGTGACAAATTGCAGGTGTTGAGAGGCACGCAAATAGCCTGGGGCTCCGGAATCGTGATCTGTACAGAGTACCTTTGTAGGTTGTTCTTACATAGATTTCTGCAAGTAATTCTCTTCATGGTTGTCACCTGCCGATGTATCCCCCCACGCCTGGGAACCTGTCAGACACCACAGGGGTCCATTAATACTGTGGATTACAATCAAATGTCTGTCTTAGTGATGAAGTTGCAAGGGCAGGACAGGTGGGGATGCTTGGCCCCCATGCCTTCTACAGGTTTCAGGGCCCCTTCCTGAGCCCCACCCCCAGTGCTCTGCAAGCATTCTTGGAGTCCCACTTCTGCCTCTTTCTCCACGTCAGTCACAGGTATGCAGTGCCTCCCTGCAGCAGGAGACAGTGTGCAGGGCCAGCTGTGGCTCACTCTGAATCATGACTGGAAGAGTTGACTTCTGTTGCTTTCTGTCACCATCCGCCAGCCTCTCTCGGGCACATGAGTCCCAGAGGAGCCCTTCTGGTCCTCCCCACGGATCATTCTACCCAGGTTGTCCCCTCAGTTAACCCTGTGGCTACCACAACCGTAACACATCTGCACAGGACACAGTTACACATCCTCCTCCTCAAATAAAGAGCAGAGTGGCCACTGTATCCTGAGTAGCTTCCGGGTGGTCCTTTCCCGGCCAGGACAGAAGTGAGGGGACCCTGGTTCATCCCACCGCCCAGAGCCATGGGCCTGTTTCGTGAGGCACTTAGAGGTCTTGGCGGTCTGCATTAATGCAGAGGGAATTCCTCCTCCTACGATTAAAGTAATTGTTCAAATTTAACCCAGACTTGAAATGTTCTAGTGTCAAATGAAATGAAGAGTGAGAACCAATTACAATCACCTCATATTAAATTAGCTTCATTAAAGCACAGTGGTTTTTTAATCATTTATTCTCTCCTCATAGCAGCTGGAGCTGCTATTATCACTCCAGCATTGTGTTAAGTCCTGGAAGGATAAGGAAATGGGGTCCCGGCCCACACCATGTGCAGCGTTTGGGGGTGAAGGGGGTGGGAGACTACAGCACAGAGAATCAGGGTCTTGCAGAGCTACCTGGTAAGCACTGTAGCTGAAGGTGCATGCTTGCATGCGTGGGCATCATAAAGGCACCCAAAGGTTACACAGGTTTCACCAGGCAGCCAGTGAGAACATGACCGAGGACCCAGGACCCAGCGTGGGGAAGCGAGGGCAGGCGGGGGAGACAGCAGATGGCTGGGCACATAGGCAAGAGTCAGGTCATAAAAGGACTAGTCTGCAGCTTCTGTTTTATCCCGTGGATGATGGGGAGGCACTTAAGACCCGCAGAAAAGCTAAGACAGGAAAGATGAGGCAGGGGGCTGAGGCCAAAGAGCCAGGATGGGCCCAGGGGAAACCAGAATAATCCACAAGGGCAGGAATGGCCACCACTACTGCTCCAGAACCATCCCC